TAATTTATTTATTTTGTTCTTACTTTTTTTAAAATTTTATGTATATCAGATTGTATACTTTTATTGCTTTATTTATATTATTAGATTAAATAAAATAGAATTTAATTGTATTTATGTAATTAGTAAGATGTTAATTTTATAAGAATAGCTGCCTTTAATAGGTAATAGTTTGCTTTAGTTAAGTTGTCCAAAAAGTTATTTGAAAGATAATATAAATATTTATTGATATTCTTTAAAATAGAATGCAATTTGGTTACTTTTAGTAAAAATGTAAAGAAGTATTTAAAAGCAGTAAAGATATATAAAATATATTTAGATAAAATGAGTAAAAAATCTTTATAAAACATTTTATTTAGTTATTTTGATTTTTAATTTTTGTAAAATGTTTTTTATGAATTTTATTATTTATTAATTTTTTTTTTATAAGACAAAATTGGTAAGACCTTTTGTTTAAACAAAAAATTATTCTTTTTATAAAGATTTTTATAAAAAAACAAATAAATATTTTTAAAATTTTAATTATTATATTAACACATTATTCTTATTATTTTAAAGTTTTTTTTTAAACTAATATTTTTATTTTTATAGTCTTTAGTTTTCTAATAATATTTAATATCAAAAGGTGTGGTGACTTTGTGAAATAGATAAGTTGTCATATCCCAAGTAGTAGGTTGTGAGTTCAAAACCCACTGATGATGAAATTTGTAAATCACTTATATAATATATAGACAGTATTACAGTGATAACATTCTGTTGATCAGTTGGGATAAAATACCTGTAACTATGATCGCACCAACATAACTGACAGGTCTGAGGCATCTGTATGACTTGTTACACAGAGGAATACAAACTAGTAATCAGTGATACAAACCTAAAATAAGTCCTCGGGCTGTGTAAATCTGTAGAACTGGGAAGCCAGAGTTTACTTGGAAATTCTGAGCAGAAAGGTAACACAGATCTTCAACAGTACTACTGTAAAGGCTAGACCTAGAAAATGAATCCCAATGTGAAGGATTTGGGCAGGCAAGAACCTAAGGTAAGGGGTACCACCAATCAGGTTATCAGATTTTAGACTGAAGGAAAAAGGATATTGGGTCGACCTCAATATACTAAGGATAGGTCACAGTTCTTCTGGGCTATCTGGATTGGGAGTCTTGGTTCAAAGCAGAGGTATACTAAAAGTACTAGAAATATGTTGTAAAGTTAGTACTGGGGTTTGGTTGAACTCTGCAAGGGCAACCTGTATTAGTGTTCTAAAAGTAGGTAGATAATTAACAACAGGAGACCCCCTGCATCTTACTGGTAGGTGACATACTCTGAAATATGTAACAGCCTAGGAACCAGTACAAAAAGGGTAGGTACCATACTGCTCAGATGGTATACTGGTTAGATATATACGGAGGGTTAGTTGGAGATTCCAATATAACAAGGTGGATAATCAAAGAGTTTAAATAGATAATCTTCTAGTAGGTTATAGGTATGGCACCTAGTGTAGAACCTTAGGGTGGACTACTTAAATAGGCAATCAAAAGTTGCACATATGACTAGCTGTACTCTCATCTTTGTAAAAATAGTTGTAATAGTTAACCTAATATAAGTCAATAAAATATCGCCACAAGTATAACCTTTAACACAAAAAAAAAAAAAAAAAAAAAAAAGCAATATTTAATATCCAAAATACTTTTAATATTGTTCTATTACAAGTTTTTTAACAAATCAATATTAACCCATTGACTTATTTTAACATTTATCTTTGTCAATTGGATTAATACAGATAGCTTTACTATTTTGAAATTGTTAATAGTAATTATTCTAAAAGCTTAGCAATTATGATAATCTTATGTAACATTGATTCAAGGTTTTACTTTTCATTTATTTTAAGTATTAAAAACCTGAAGGAGCAAAATTGTCATTAACAATACTTTTTTGTCTCATAATTTTTTTACTTTAAGCTCATTTACACTATATTAGCCAATTGGATTTTAAACCTCATCAAATGATCTACCAAAATTAGTCAATCATAAAAACCTGCTATGCGCCAAATTTTCACTTCATGTGATGTTTATCCAATAGTGAGTCTCGTTTTAACGTAATGTTAGAAAATGTTCAGTTTTAAAAATAGCTTACTTCTCAAAAACTTGCATAAGAAATATCTTTTGCGCTCTAACCAAAATAAAATTCCTAGAGTGTTTTTACCATTACTTCTTTAAAACCTAATCCTATTATAAACACTAACCCTAACTTAAACGAATTTAAAGATTTTTAAAAACTGACACGTGAAAGCAAAATTTTAACAGTGATACTGTATCGTTGCGAAATAACGCCCCGGGCGTTATTTAGGGCACATTGCTTGAAGACTTTTAATAACCAAAAATCATGATTTTCAGTCGTTTAAATTAATAATTAGCTTCTTTCAAGCAATATGTCTTGAAATAACGCCCCAGGGCGTTATTTCGAGACGACACGGTACTGGGGAAGATATTCTTTGCCATGGCTAGGATAGTAATATAAAGGATGATCTTCAATTTTAGCTAGGCCCCGGACTTATAACGGTTTCTGATTCCTAGTTTATAATACAAATCATGTGATTGGACGGACAGAAAATTCCGAATTACGTTTTTGATGGTTTAATACAGGATACATCAAAAACGTGTTTGTATTACTATGCATAGAATTTGAGTCCTCTGGACAATTACAAAAGGTGTGCATGTATAAACTTCAGTTAATTAGTAAAGTAGTAATGTATGATTGTACAAATATGTACGGAAGTACGAAAATTGAGTAAAATTTTGATAGTAGGTAACATAGGCCTGTAAAATTAACTTTTTATAAGTCCATTATCCGTTTGGCACAGGGATGTGACGAATAATTGGGTGTGCCTAACAAGCATTAGTTAATATAATTATTTAGCCAATACTTACTCGTCACACATGATTTGTCACATTTTCATGCCAAATGAAAGAGAACTAATCCTTCACAAGTAAACCCTTTTTTTATGTTTAGGGTTAGGGTAGGTGCGAGCATTGATCTTTTTTCGTATCAGGTTATACAGTATGAAAATTAGCTGAATTTTTTCTTTTACAAATCGTACGCACTATCATGATTTCCACATATCCGTCCCAATTTGCGGTACTAATTTACTATATCGATATACCCTAAACCTAAACCAATCATAATCTATAGGGTACACGTCCGCTAATTTACAGAATTGGGCCTTATGATATATCCCTAAATATTTGCTGATCCGCAAATGATTATTAATTACATTGATCCCTAACATTTTATGAGTCAGATAGTTAAAAATTGAACTCCGAATTAATTTCAATGGTGTATAAATAAACTCATTAGATAAGGAACAACCCATTAAATTTTATAGATAAAAAATTATAGTCTTAAGGATTATTATCGAAATTAAACTTTGTGTATAAATATAATTTTATTTTGGTACCACTTTTTACGTAATCAATGCTTAAAATTATGAATTATATGTCTTGACAAAAATTTTGAATTCCGTATGCAAAAGATCTTGTCAAACCTAGCATACAGCAAGATCATTTGCATATGGAGTTTCAATTATTTGTTCAATATGCATAATTTAATATGCTAAAAAATTTTTAATAAAATCGTTTGAAAATTTATACGCACGTAGCAATCATATTTTTAAGCACCGTTTAAATAAATGATTTGAGTGATTATTTTAAAGAAATTAATCTTGGTGGTTACGTCATCTAAAATTTGATTTTCGACTTTTAATAAAAATTGTTTCACACATCATTTTCTACTTTGGTAAGAATATATTCAAACACTATTCTTGTTTATCATCTAAACAAAAAATTCTTTTTATAATATATTGGCATCAAAATTAACCTCGTTCCTGGTTCAGTGCAACTACTACCTAATTAAGTAATTTAATAAAAAGTGCGTACGTACGTACGTACCAGAGTGTCCAACTATTTCTAGTATCTAAAATAGCAATCAAGAAAACAACCAAATTAAATCGATAAAAAATTTTTTTATTTCATTCTATGAACGAGTCTGGTTGAATTTGGTTGTGGTTGTCATAATATTAATAGTGCTACTTTGAGAGCCAGAAATAGACGTATGTACGTACGTTGTGAAAGGGTGAATCGACGCTAGGTCAAATTTAGCAAATACGGATCAGGTTTGATGCATATACTGTACATTTTGTACATTTTGTACATTTGAACATAGCGATAGTAAGTGATCAACGTAAACATCTAGCGAACATAGTTAACATAGTAGCTTTAGTGTATATAATGTACTTATTAATAGTGCGAAAGGATAAAAGAACTACCTTTTCGTCTTCAATAAAGACAGTTCAGTTCTAGAGCTTAGCAACAGCTCAGTTAGAGTGGTTTAGAGTGTATTTAGTGATTGTGTTGTAGCGTAGTATTCGTTATATCCAGCGACGTTTCCGACTTTCTCAACATACGTACGTGCTGATCAATGATCACGCTGAAAATGTATAAAAGGTAGTACGAAAGTTGAGTCACAATTTTCATTCTGCAACTAGAATTAACATATATATACATTTATTTAAACTATTTTATTGAGGGACGCCGGAAGGCGTAATTAAAATTATATTTGTAATTATACAAGGGATATATTGCGTACGTACTTAGCTGATCTTTCTCTTTGAAGTTTTGATGCAACATTTCTCTTTGTTTATTTCATGTAGCGTGTGTACGTACGTACGTACATACATACATACGATGTATTCTTTTGTGATACGTACGTATCTCCAGAAACAATGTTAACGCCCTACATACAGACATAGAATAAATCAAAATTTATATATGGAAGGTACGATTTTCAATTATTATACAGACCATGTGCTTCAAAGAGAAAATGTATAAAAATGCTTGGAAATTGTACCAGATAAAAGTGAGAACAATTTATTTCTTCACTGATAATACCTTGAATAAATAGACGCTTATAGGTAACTCAGTTCGTTTTGAAGTGGAACAAGATCTGATGCGATGGAACTGGAATCTTTAAACTTCAACTTATCATATGACGATAGTTCACTTTTGATAGATAATAATGTGACCAATACCATGGTTACTTCTGAAATTTTAGATGATAGTGAATCGAGAGTGATCCATAACTCTTCTCAACAGCCTTTCTTTATTAAACTTCCTTTTCCTCCAACAATAGATATTAATAGCTTAATTAAACCGAATAGTACTAAACCAATAAAATCTTATGACGTTTATCGTTATGTTTATACTGAAGAACTTCGTTCGCGAAAAATTAATTTCAAAATAGCACGAGTATCACGAGATATTTCTAATTCTTGGAAAAAAGAACCTAAAATTGTAAAAGCGGAATATAAAAGACATGCAGATAACGCAAATAATCAATACTTGTTGAAATATCAAAAAAAGCAACAATTACAATTACCTATAAATCAATCGTCTCCTGCTGATGATACAACATCACTTTTAACTCATTTAAATAATTCTTCGCCTTCCAGGTCAGCAATAGACCAAGAGGAGTTATATAATCCGTTAGATACTTGTAAGAATAATTTGATACCATTTAACGAAAATCCGATCGATAAACAGACTACGTCTAGAGGTCAGAGAACTAATCGCACAGCGGCTTGCATTCATTGTAAAAAAATGAAGGTAAGATGTGAATGTTCGGACAATGGTCAATGCAGACGATGTGTTAAATTTGGTTATGAATGTTTATTTGAACAACAACAAAAGAGAGGACCTAAACCTGGTAAAAAAGGTAAAAAAGTTAAATCGAATACACCCTGGGAAGATTTTCAAAATTTAAGAAATGATTTTATGCAAAAAGTTCGTAAATTAGACATTGAAGTAGAAATCATAGCTCGTTCAAGCACTTCAAGTACATCAAATGATACATTACAAAATTCATTACAAAGTTCGTTACAAAGTTCATTACAAAGTTCATTACAATGTTCAGAAATAGATTTGCAACATCTTGCATATTTGGGATCAACACCACTCATAGAAAGATTGGACCAGACATATTCTCCGGAATTCACGACTTACACAACATTCCCTTCGATCGACTATGAAACATCAAGTAACCAATTAATTCCGATGCCTGGTAACTTTAATTTAGAAGACATTGCTTTAGAAAATGATGAGAATTGATGATGTTTTACAAACGACATGTGAACTAGAGCTCAATTTTTACGATAATGCTATGTTAGGTCGTTTCAAGTCGATTTTTTTTAATTTATCGCCATAGCTTAGAATGAACTTTAAACGACATATTTATTTTATATTATTTATGAATTGGTTCCGACACTTTATAAACAATATTGTACTATATACATATAGATTTTATTATTATTCTTATAGTTAGAATTTATAAACACTACGAACTTTTCAAGTATTAGAATTAAATTCGCGCTGGTTAGCGAATATTGATATGCAGAGTTTTGAGTATTGTTAGTTCTGATAAGCTTAGATTACAGAAACTGATGTACTTGGCATCTTGGCATTCATTTATGGAGACTTAACATATGATTAAGAGTTGAAAGTCTATATAAAGAATTCAATTTTAAAGTTTTTTTTTTTTGTTTCCTGTAACTTTAAATGTTCATTTGCTAATTCATATATAATATTCAATATTCCATAAATGATTTTGCAAGGTACCTCATTGATTTATAACCCTTCAAATCGTACCATCAATATTTTTTCTTTTAAAAAGAAAAATAATTTCAAACGGTATGACATGTTTCTTTTTGAAGAGACTTCATTGAGACGCTCTAGAATAAATGTGTCATTACAGTATATTAATGATCATGAAATAATTTAAATTTCAAAAATGTATTAATTATGATCTGAACAATAGTAATGCACACTAATTATTTTTGTAATTATTTAATAAAAAGGTAATGTGTATTTAATAATCAAGTTTGGGCCGAAAAAAAATAAAAAATGAATAATATTTTATGTTACCGGTTGCAAACAGGACTGGAGATAATGGTAAAAATGATCAATTTAAGAATAATGCAAAAAGTAAGTACCTGGAATCTGGGTATTTTACGTTCCACATGATAAAAAACTTTAATTTATATTGCAGTATTGTATGGAAGTTGCTACATTACATGGGTCATTATGTAAGGAACAATTAAGTTTATTGAATGCAACTTTAGCCCTTGAAATTAAATAAACCCAACAAAAATAAACAATATTAGAACTGATATTCATGTCATATTTTATAACCGTTTAAATTCTAAAATCAAGTCGAATCTGACACTTCAATTAATCTCTTCAACAAAAAGCTCTTAACACCATCACGTCTTTAATGATTTCCAATTCGCAAGAATCATATCCTAATTTTTTTGTTGGTCTTGTCGTGCATATAATGATTTTAATTTGACGCACAACATATATCTGTAAACACTAATATCATAGTTAATACACTTCAAATAGAAATTAAAGTGTGCATCCTAATGTTCAAAATTAGCATGAAAGTAATTCTTTCTATTTTAATAGCATAATAAATAATTGCATCATATTAATGTGCTACCAAGAAAGTTTTAACGATATAAAATTGTAATAAATAATATACCAATAAAACTAACTACATCAAATCTACATCAAAGAAACAATGAAATAAAGAATTAAGAATGATATACAGTGAAACAAATGCACCAAAAAAATCGGTAAAAATGATAGCGAGAGTTTTGGGTATTAGGACCATTGGCGTAAGCAAAAGTCGTACAAAAATTTGTTCATGAAAATCTTATTCTAATTCGCTATGGTTATTCTCACATAGCATAATCTATGACGCAATTCATGCAAGTATGCAGTGCGACCTGACCTTATGAGTCATCTTACCCAAAGTCAGTTTTGTGAAGTTGGCCCATGAAGAATCTTTTGACCGATTTTATATTATATCACAATTTTACGAAAATTATTTTCGTGCCCAGCCAATCAGATAATTAGTCACTAAAATCACGAGATAAAATTAAGGACACTAAATTCACTACATTAGGGACAAAACTTACGATCATTACCTACTTTTTTGATACATCTAAACGTACCCTGAATTTTTTTTTTTTGCTTTTTTTATATTAAATATCATGCGATTATTATATGTATCACAGTCAAAGAAATTTTAGAAATGCAGAAGTAGCCAAAATGTAACTTTTGCGCATTATGGCACGAAAAAATTTGTTCATGTGCATATTTCATAAATTTTGATTTAGAGATTATTACACGTATATTGCAATCAATCTTATAAATTTTCGAGGAGATTTCTCAAGATAAGAATTATATAACAAGTATGTACGTGGTGTGCTTTTATTCGAGCTTAAGAAATAAGATAATGAATTTGAGGAAATGCATAAGATAGGTCTTTAAATAACTTTAACATTCAAATTTGCATGCTAAACAGTTCAAAAGAACAATAAACCTACCTTTTTTAGTATTAATAATACTATATTCTATTCACCCCTTTTTTTTATCGTGTCATGGGCGTTAGTTATTTCTTTCATGGTGACAAATGTGGGGTTGTGCAAATTTTACAAAAACAGAATTATAATGTTAGTGTAATTCCAGAATGCAGGGATAACCAAAAGGAAAATGTTTTGTAAGTACGTACATACCTATCTGAAAAAAATTTTTATGATTCCACGATAAAATGCCCTATAAAAATTTCCTTTTTGAGTATAATGATAGAAAATGCCATACAATTTATATAAAAGCCATACTGACTGAAAAACTTTCTACATATCAAACCCTTTACCCTTTTATATTTATTTACTCTTTTTCAACTATCATTGAAATAAAATGAATAGATGGATGACAGTTACTTAAACTCGTCTAATTACCCATCTAATTCCAACGCAGTGGGATTAAATTTCGACCCAACTTCATACATTACTGATAGTTCTTTAAAATCCTCATTCATTCCGAGAAATACAATTGATGTCAGTAGCTTTGTTTCAGTGCAAAATGGAGACTATCCTTACACTGCTTTCAAAATTTATTGTAAAGAGCTTCGCTCACTAGGAATTGATCAAAGATATATAGTCACACTTCTTTGGAAGCAAGAACCGCCAATTGTGAAACAATTCTATATAAACATTGCAGATACTGCCAACGATAAATATGAAGAAAAGTGGCCTAATGTACCAAGACGTCGATTACCAGTTAACCGACAATCACCATCCACTGCTAGAGTAACCCATTCAAGAAATAACTCCTTGTCTTATATTCCGGCAATAGAGACAAATTATCAACCAAACAATGTGCTTCCTTATAATAGAACTGTTAATCCACCGAACATATGTAATCGACCCGACTTGACGTCATCTAACGTGATTTGTAATCAATCCAGCTTGACGTCATCTAACGTGGTTTGCAATCAATCTCGTTTGACGTCATCTAACGTGATTTATAATCAACCTCGTTTGACGTCATCTAACGTCATTTATAATCAAGCTAGCTTGACTCCATTTAACCTGAATTGTAATCAACCTAACTTGACGCAATCTAACATAAATTTTGATCAATCTGGATTGACACCAATTAACGTGAATTGTGATCAACCCAACTTGACTCAACCTAATGCCAATTTGAACAAGCGATCTAGAGGAACCTACACCATCGCTGCTTGTGATCATTGTAAAAAGTCAAAAGTCAAATGCAAACCTTCTAGCAGTGATTTATGTGAACGATGCGGTGAAAAAAACGTCGATTGCACATTCAGTCCACAGAAAAGAAGAGGTCCTAACTCAAAGTCTAATAAGGCCAATTGCACATTCAGTCCACAGAAAAGGGGAGGTCCTAACTCAAAGTCTAATAAGACCAATTGAGTCAAGTTTGAAAGTGGAACTCGTTATTTCAAAACCTAGAATCTAGTGACTGTATCTTGTAAAAAGGACAATTCTCTTTCTTATAATCCTTTAATTTAAATTAGCTTATAATAGTTGACTGTAATCTACAGAATTCACTATTTAATTTAGCCATTTTCTCATCATTATCTAACTAGAATGATCGTATCTCCTACTATAGCTAATTTAACATTAATAATATATCTTTTTTGGAACTTTTTATCATAGAAAGGATTTGTGTATCTGGTATACATAAAATAAATAAAATGGTAATGTTCTAAATTTGCATTTATTAAGACCATTCTAAGTTAATTTTTCGGTTAAAATCACCCCCAGCCCTGAAAAAATTAACAACCAATCACCTTATTTTCATTGTCCAATCAAATTGCCCATATTTATTTATTTATATGTTCACCCTCTTTCTCAGGAGTTCTAAAAGTAATGTTAACCTAATTCATATATATTTTAGATCTATATTAGAGCTATGTTTAGAGCTATAAGTGAATATATTAGACAAACATTATTAGTTTGATTTAATTTATTATATTTCTCAAAATCCCAATGTTCTTTTGTAATATATTATAGACTATCATTTTGAGAATTTTTTTTTTCTTTTTTTTTTTCTTTGCTTTTTTTTAAAAAAAAAACCTCGCTAAAAGATGCCGTTGGCATTCATAGAAATCAAAATTTTTTTTTTATTTTTGCTCTTCTTTTTACTAGATTTTTTTTAACTTCAAAATTTTAGATTTTGTTTTGTACTGCTATTATATATCTATCAAGTTTCTTCATATAAAGATATCGTACAGAGTCATGTCTCCAGAAGTGACTCCTTAATTGCAGTATACAAATTCAAATATGAATTACGTATCGCATTTTTAACGTTAGCCATGTGTAACATTTTATAATGTTATTCAGAGTTTATCTGTAATTCAAGCAATAGCTCTATCAGTTTCAGACGGCTCAATTTCGTGTTGTCACTCAAGCTGTTTTCAAATAAGCTGTTAATTACTCTAATATCATATAATTGCTACCAAGGGAAAACTCAAATCAATGCTTTCAATTATATTTTGTGACCAGTCTGCCTTCTGATTGCTGTCTAGAGAAAATGCATCATCGGACTTTCGATTATATTTGTAATGGCTTGTTACAAAATATAATTAAAAAACCGATGATAGATTCTCCATAGACGGCAATCAGGAAACCGACTGTACACAAAAATATGATTAAAAGCCTGAATGTAAAGGTTTCCTTGGCAGCACTCATCATGAAACGTTTCCTTTAGCAAATCATATGAGTACATTCAATTAATTTTCATCACCAACTTATAAATTTCCTTAAAAAATTCTTTGCAGCTTAATTAGAATTGGAGTTTGTTATTTAAGTTAAGTTAGAAAGAGCTTTTCCTAACACAAAAATTTTGCAAGAAAACCTTTTTGTTAGTGTACAAAGGGCAATTTCATATGCAAAATGTTGATTTAGGAACGATCTTTTTGGTTGTTTTGATTTTTTTGATCTTGAAATCAGATTGGCTGGCGAATCCGCTAGGCTAATTTTATAACGAAAAATCCGGATATTCTAATATCCGTTAAATTTTAAATATGAAAACGGATAACAGATAGCATCTCTAACAGTAATAAACATTTAACTCAGCCAGCATTAAAATAATTCTAGATCTAAAACAAACTTAATTTTACCCGATACTACGGAGCAATTTTTAAACGATTAACTGGGTTCCAATCTTTATTTAAATACGTATGTAACTCGAAATTTAACAATTATACCGGTTTCTGCGCACTAATTAAAAATCTTAATGGTAAAATATTATTATATAAATGTTCTGAATACTAACTCTAACACTAATATACATGTCTAAACAAAGCAATTTCTTTTAATGAAATTGTACTTGTCGTATTGTCACGATTAAATTAAGCTTAATTCAAGCCATGATTATAAATAACGCTCATGTGCGTTATTTCGCGACAATATGGTACTGTGGGTATCGATATAGGATACCTGGGAAACTGAGTAAAAAAATTCAGGATCGAAAATTAGGTGTGCATTACATATTAAATTTAAAATGAATCTGGGTAATATTGTTACTTATAGTTTATTGATTGGCTCGTCGTTTTCCGGCAGGTAATTTCAGGTTCAATTTCTCGTAAGATTTTCCATTAAGGCCGTTCGAAGTTGATTCTTCGGTTAACATCACTTTTAGAACTCTTGGGAGGGGGGGGGGGGGGCGAAAGGAACGAAGCTAAAGAAAGAACAAAGAGGGGGCAGGGTTGTAGGCGGAGGGGAAGGAAGCGGG